TAACTCTGTCCCAGCCCAAACCAGCACATTCTGCTGTGTAATTTTAGGTTCTTGGGTCCATTCCTGTACAACATCAATCACCTAGAATTGCCATTAACTTCAAGTTATTCCTTTTAGACACAGCAAGAAGATATGAGTGATAATGCAAAGCTTCTGCTTTGAGCTATTTATGTCACTACTTTAAAAACTTACTCTTAGAGTAAGGATTTTGTAGAGCACACAGCACATTGCTTACCATTTCCTTCTATTCATTGAATCTCTCCTGCATGATAGTTGTTTTTTCTCTGGAAATCATTAAGGCTGGATTTCAGCAGGGATAACACATCTATTTTTGTAAAGCTCCCATGTGAACATCACACACTAGCTTCCAGAGCATTTATTTTGATCCTGAAAATTGCAGGCCTCAGGTAATCATCAAACCCACTAGTTTAAAAACATTACTTCCTCAGTCTTGAATCATTAGAAACGCTATAAAACGTATACAAGCTGGAGAACAAACAAGGCAACTGAGAAGAAAACAAGTGTCAAAAATTATTCCGGTGGTCAAGAAACCATTTTCTTACACTTTACGTAATTATTTTAAGAGCTTAAACATCAATTCTGCTCGTGTTGCTGCCTGCAATTTTAAGGGCTTTTACACTTAACATGTTGCTTCAACAGACAAGTTAAATTGGCCAACTGAGTGAATAGCATCACCTACTCTTCAGCTGTAGGAGATCATAAGGATAAGAGAAATGATGGGATAAAAAAGTGGGGGAGAGATGAACATTGTGGCTCGCGGTGTTCTGGGCTGGCATTATTGCCGCTAATAACAAAAATGCATCTGAGTATCTTAAGGTTTCTATTATTTTTAAGTGTATGTATTCTGGAGAGATTGATTGAATTTAAAACCTGTTTTTCTTAAGATCAGAGAAAATTGCATTCAGTCATGACATACATTGTATTTTTCACATTTTAGCATAGTGGCCCAGCAGTAATAAATGTTTCAGTATTTAATTCAGAATTTAACGTTGATACAGAAAACCAACATCCCCAAATGTCAGGTAACTGCCATTTATGTATATTTGCGCACACACACAGAGGCAGCACAGGTGAACAACCACTCTCCATGTTGTCTTTGGACGCAACCAACAGCTTGAACAACATTTTTCTAAAATGAGAGCAAATGAAGAGAGTTTTTCAGTCTCTACGTGGTTCTTGCATAGGGAGGGAGAGGGGAGAAGCAAGGAAGAAGTCCTGCAGGTGGCTAAAGCAGGAGAAGGAGCAGCGTATCCCCACTGATTCATTTGTGCCGCTTACAGGACACTCTCCCTCTTGTGCAGGATATGGGCCGTGGCTTAGAGCAAACAAGAAGTAGCCCTCACTGAGTAAACAGTCTTCAGTTCTTGAATATTCTCATTTTAATATGGGGAAGGGACCACAGTTTAAACCTTTACGGGAAGGATGTCTTCTGCTAGGGTTTCCAGGCTGCCTTGCAGCGCTGAAGCCCCAGAGGCATCCTGGGACCCCGGGCTCCTCTGACCAGCTGTGACCGATGCTGGAGAAGGCCACTGCGCTCCCTCGGGCACGTGGGGTTGTGGAACAGAGAGCGAGCTGCAGTGCCACACTGCCCGTGCCTGAAATACAAGCGGGGTGGTGGCAGGGGTGCCGGAGCTGTATAGGCTGGCGAGGCTGGGATGGTGGTGGGGTGGGAAGCAGAGAAAGCTGGAAGAGCCCCAGCCCGCCAGCGGAGTAGCAGTCGGTGCCGTTTCTTGTTGCTTCCTCCGCACGTATAATTTGTACAATTACAGGAGAGAGGATGATTTTCCTCCCCTTCTAGCCCTTCCTCACTAGATGAAAATGCAGCCTGGAGGTCCAGATCCACCCCTCACTGATACCATTTTGTTTTGAAATGAACTTGCTGGGGAGCCAGGAGGTCTCTGCTCAGGGCGTTTACTGGGGCCTGAGACAAGCTTCGGGTGTCATTTCCCAGGGCAACACCACAGAAAGTGCTGAACTTAATCAGAGAGCTACTGTGATGCCCAATTGCCTCACAGGTATTACTTATTTATGTATTAGAAACTTACTAACAGTTATACTAGCTCTTGAAAGTAAATCTGGAAAAGGACAGTAGCAGTGTCTGATTCTTCTTGGTGCATACAATCCTGTTTTGCAGATCACTTCATAAAAGTAATCTAAAAATATCCATTCATCCATTTATAAAAATCCATTTATAAAAATCCATTCAAGAATCACTGCTCTACTCTTTTTTCCTTGTTTCTTCTCACAGCTTGATTCTCAAGAGCTTTACAGCAGAAAAGCTTTACCAAGGACTTGTGTGAATCACTAGTGATCCTTCACCACAGTTTCAAGACCACTTGACAAAAGTAAAGCTCATTGCGCAGACTTGAATCACAGCAGCAAACACTGGTATGAAGTTACATCATCAAAAGCAAAAAGTAGAAGCGATTTAACCCCTCAGCTAACAGTATTTGCTCCAGATATTCAGTCAAATTTGTAAAGTTACATTTGAAAGCAAATATAAAGGAAAATATGCAATATCTTTCTTCATGAATACTCACTTATCATGCTTCCTTTAATCTTAGTAAATAACTGAGGGGACAAATCACATGAATGATTCAAGAATTAATAAGAGGGAGATGAACTGCCACCATGGAAAGTATTAATACACTTCGTAGTAAAAGTAGATTATCTCATTTTTAATTTTGAATGAAGTTATGATTAAAAAAAAAATTGTAGAACTTTTTCCCCCAACGTTTCACTAGAAAACTAATAGCAGCTCCAGGCTGGTCTCTTTCTAAGCAGCAGTACGTGCATGTAGCTTGAAGAGAAGTTCAGCATTTATGTTACGGGTACCCTTACAGAACAGCTCCTGCCCACTCAACAGAACAGTGTCTGCCACAGCTCCCATGTTTTCTTTTCCTTGTTTTCTTTGCTAAGTAATACCCCAGAGAGCAGAAGCTGGGGCTGCAAAATGGCCTGTATGCTGTCACTAGCACCTTGGATGCCAGTTTGGAAGCCCTCACCTTAAGGCTCTTCTGCCACCAGTCTGCATTTCCTCTGTGTATTGGCAAGACCTCAGAAAGCAAATTATTACATGGCAAAGGAAAAAATGGTGAAATATTTCGAGGCTCTGACAACCACTCCTTCATTCAGTATTACACCCTCCTTCAGAAAACACCTCAGAACAAATTAACATACATGTATTTTTAAATTAGTCATATTTTTGCTGGGAGTAAAAAAAGCTGAGAAACAAGTTAGATTCATAAATGAAAATGTATTTCACCTTTATACATGCTATACAGGTCATGCAAATACAGAAATCTACAGGTTATACAATGACACCATAATAAAATATAATGTGACATTTGTCAAACACAATGTATCACAGCAAAACAAACTGGTTTTGTTTGTTTATTATTTAGGAAATAGATGAAGGACTAATTTGGAAGACACAGTACCATGCTACAGCTTACTGCACAGTCAAAAGAAAGTATTTCTCTGAAGTACACTAACATAAATAGAGCTGGATTGTTGTAGGTATGATTTCTTTATACACCGCACATAATGTCATTGGTTACCTTCCCGTTGCTGGCTTTAAAGAGCACAAGAACGGGGCTACAACTGAGCTCAAGCTATGCTGTGAACCCCCTTAACATGTGAAAAAAACCAAACAAAAAAGCAAAAAACCCCACCCCCCAAGTTTTCACTTTTGTTTTAGTGTCCGAGGAGAGTTGTATTTATAATTTATTCTTATAAGGAAATGGACAAAAGTGTCCTCAAAGCAGCACATGATCTAGCATAAAGTTATCATAGTTCACCAACAGATATAAAGTTAACACTGTATGGCACATAATGTCTAGATATTATACATCTTGATGTGAATTTTTCCATACAGATGCTTACAGAATGCTAAGGGGGTTAGCAGTGTTCCCCGTATGTGTCTCAGCCTTTGCATTTCTGCTGCAACATTCACATATTGTTTTGCTGCTGGCTAAATCTTGTTTTCTTGAGCCTATAGGAAGACAAAATACTTCTCCACATGATAGAAAGCCTGCTGGTATTAATCAAGTGTCTGCATCTTCAAAGATTAACATGTTAACTCACCCCCCCTTGACCACTCACTTCGATCTACTACACCTATACTATATATATATATTTTAAGGGATTACACTAGGCATTTTGCCTACTTTGTTTACAGGTGTTACACAGGTATGTTTTTAAATACATAGTTGATAGTCACTCCCGGACTAATTAATATTAACCAGTAAGTGCCACTAGTGACTATAAGTGTCAACATAACCATAACGGGACAGCTCCCACACTCCACAGTCAGTAAGAAGGCTCTTTTGATTCCAGCAGTTATGTATTTTTCAAGCCTCTTCAGCTATAGTTTTGAATTATATACCTGCATACAAGTTGCCAATAACTCCTTATTAAAAACAAAAAAAGATAGGCACAAAACTAAAGTACAGTATATTATTTCATTTCAATGCACTGTGGGCAAACCTCATCATTATTTACAAGAAAAAGATGTCTACACGGATGTATGATAAAGCTTAAGGAAGAATTATTTGAAAATAAAATGCATTGATAAAAATCACAATGAAGTGTTGAGATGAATTTTAAATTAAAAGAAGAAATAAGTGCTTTATTAGCAGCTAAAGCTCAAATTCTAATGCACACTCAGTCTTCCCTGAAATCGTCAAGGCTCTAGTTCATTGGTTTCTACCAAAAGCAGCCAGTTATTCAACATATTCCTTCGGAAGACAAAGTTATATTCAGCTCTGATTATTTGAAATCCAGTGTTCAAGGTCTGCAGAAGCTTTTTCAAGTGACAAGCTCATATTTTACTGCCAGTAGCATCACAGGGATATCCTTAACAAACTGCTACCTCTGTCAATTAAAAAAAGAGAGAGAATATCAAGTCAGCTATGCAAGTTAGA